TCTGATTTATAGCATCCACAGTTCTTTCGATTTTTATTAATCCAGGGCGCTCCCCTGACACTGCCTCTCACGCTCACACATTCCCGTAATCCGACCTATACCAACCAAAGCAACCTATTGCCCTATCCATGGCCCCCTTACATCCCTGTGCCAACGTAGTGCCTAGTTCCATCCACCTTCACCTATCATGCCAACTAATTGAATTCATATGCACAGAAGAGAAAATTATGTTCTATTACTTAACAATCTAAATTGCAGATTACAATCCATTCAAAAAAGCATTTTCATTCATAACTTCACACTCTTGACACCTCTTGACAAGTTGGACAGTTCCAGAAGAGTTATGCACCATTTATACACAGTCCTTTCCATTGTTAACTGTCCCAAGAGGCATGTGATGACTCCCACCTCCCAACAAAGGATCCCTAACCGCAACCACTAAGCTGCTGTGTGGCTGTACAGGGGTACTTCAGCTTCACAAAGGAGTACCCGAACAGCCAAAAGAAATGCAAAATGCATTGAAAACAGACCTGCTCTTACGTGGTCCAATCTCCACATTCCATGTTCCAGGCAGTCACCAACATATAATTTCATAGAAGCCACTGGTGTCTTAAATAGCCAGATGCCTCTGGGATTTGCATATATGCAAACTACAGCCAATCCCCAATCCAATGCCCATGAAAATGAGAAATGTTGAGTTTGGATGTGGAAATTGAGATTCTCAACTTCTTTTGTCATATTCACCACAACAGAAATGCTCTGTGGTGTGTTCTGGAATTTGTGGGAAGCTTGTACCATAGTTACAGCCATTTCTGGTATCTATTATTATTTCAACATAAAAAATATTCCAGCTAATTATGTTTTGAATGACTTATGCAATGCAAGTTATAAGAATTTTGGGATGCTTGGCCATTACCCCTTTAAACAACCATATGATGCATTTGAACAGAAACAGATAATTACTAGAAAGGGAAAGGAATAGAAAGATATGCAGATGATTTCTGACAGTAAGAGGCTCATACAGAACAGAAACATGAGAAAATACCCGTAGGGCTGAATGGGCTGATTATGTGTTGTACTTTCTTTATAAGAAGGTAATTATTGTATGCTCACTGGTATGAAAATTAGTAGCAACTACATATTTAATACATTTTAAATGTTCCTCACTGTCAGAGATAAATTTTCGGTGTTTCTTTTCATTTGGCCATGACCGATATATGTGTATGTAAATTTTCTTACCCTTGGAGAGGTTGATTCAGTTTTAATAGCCTAGCAGGGAGCTTTTTGAATTTAAAAAAATTATTTTATTTCTCACACACACCAGAAGGTAACAAAAATGTGATGTCTTACACACTGAATGCATCTACATTATCCCACACACAGAAAATTAAATACTGATAAAAATAAAATAGGAATTATAAAAACAGAGTTTAACTCATTCTCTATTTGGGTGTAGGCCTGATGTTTCTTAGTTGAGGTGATACTTTGGCTGCAGTGAAGGTCTTGAAAATATGGAGATTTCTAAGAAGTTGTGAAGGTTCTTGTAGTTGATTTATCCCAGGTATGAATTTCTGAGGTGAACTTGAAGGTGGAAAGGTTAGAGAAGAGAATGCCTCCTTCTCTTTCAAGGCCTTGCAGTTACTGACCAAATACAGTGTTGTGTTAATCTAATAAGCAAGCTAGGTTGTAGGTTCTTTTTTACCCACTGTGGTTTCAGCCAGTCAAAATGAGCTTCTGTGTTTGAAAAGCAAATCAATGTACCATAATGAAGGTGTCACTGAGACTTGTTCACTTTTAGCCTGCCCCATAATGAACCAGAGAAAATAGTTACGTAATTCACTAAAAAGGTCTGCCAATCTCTGGAAGCCATCTTGATATTCTGTCTTTTAAAATGCGACTTATAAAATATAGCTGTGAAGATTATATTGTCAAGGCACTATTTGACATGACATTAACACCACTGTCAGACTGTTCAAAAAGTCAAACCTTTGAAAACCTGGGGATTTATGAAATTATTTTTCTTCCTCATGCTTTGGGAAACTTCAGTCAGGACACATGTAACTCTATTGTCTATTTGATGCAAATTAACATGTAATAAAATTTGCTGCAAAATGATCTCTGCAATCCATGTCTTTCCCTTAATCAAAGCAAAGCTCTCAATTTGGGAAGTGCCCACCTTCATTTCTAATATATGTTCATGTCTCTTAACTCCAAAAAGAAACAGAAATCTTATCACAAACAGCCAGTCAATTAGATACAAGGGAAGAAATAAATACATGAAAAAAAGGAAAGGTAGACTATATGGCTATATGAACCTGTTTCGTCATTCAGTGTGATCATATCTAACCATGTGCATCAACTCTACTTTTTCACCTCCTTCCCATATCCCTTGATTCTCTGAGAAACTAAAAGTCTATTTCAGCCTTAATTATTTCCCATGATATAACACAAATGACCCTCTGTGGCAGAAAATTCCAAAGTTTCACAATGCTTTGATGAAGTTTCTCCTAATCTCAGACATAAATAATTTACTCTTTACCCTGAAACTGGGCATCTGAGTTCTAAATTACCAATATCGCAGTGTATACCCTGTCAAGCCCAATTAGAATCTTGTATGTTTCAATGAGATCATCTGATCCTGAGGAGTGTTGCTGAACAAAGAGACATTGGAGTGCAGGTTAATAGTCCTTTGAAAGTGGAGCCGCAGGTAGACATGGTAATGAAGAACGCATTTGGTACATTTGCTATTATTGGTCAGAGCACTGAGTATAGGAGTTGGGAGGTCATATTGTGGCTGGAACGGGACATTGGTTAAGCCACTTTTGGAATGCTGTGTTCAATTCTGGTCCCACTGCTGTAGGAAAGATGTCAATAAACTTGAAAGGATTCAGAAAAGATTTACAAGGATGTTGCCAGGGTTGAAGGGTTTAAGCTATACGGAGGGGCTGAATAGGCTGGGGCTATTTTCCGTGGAGCATCGGAGGCTGAGAGGGTGACCTTATAGAAGTTTATAAAATCATGAGGGGCATGGATAGGGTGAATGGTCAAGGTCTTTTCCCCAGGGTAGGGCAGTCCAAAACTAGAGGGCATAGGTTTAAGGTGCGAGGAGAAAGATTTAAAAGGTACCTAAGGAGAAACGTTTTCACACAGAGGGTGGTGCACGTATGGAACGAGCTGCCAGAGGAAGCGGTGGAGGCTGGTCCAGTTACAACATTTAAAATGGGACGGGTACACGAATAGAAAGGGTTTAGAGGGATATGGGCCAAATGCTGGCAAATGGGACTAGATTAATTTAGGATATCTGTTTAGCATGGATGAGTTGCATCAAAGAGTCTATTTCCGTGCTATACATCTCTATGACTCTATACTCCACTAATTGCTGGAGAGTCTAGATGCAAGTCACACATTATTGTCATTATAGGACAATCCTTTCATTTCAGGAACCAATCTAGTGAACCTTCATAATCCATCTTCTAGTGCAAACTCATTCTTTCTTAGAAGTAGAGACTAAAACAGCATGCAATATTCCAATGTAACAAGGTGTAGAGCTGGATGAACACAGCAGGCCAAGCAGCATCAGAGGAGTAGGAAAGCTGACTTTTCGGGTCTAGACTCTTCTTCAGAAATATTCCAAATGTGCTCTCACCAACACACTGTACAACTGCAGCAAGACTTCATTATTCATGGATTCAAATCTTGTCATGATGAAGATCAACATGTCATTTGCCTTCCTAATTATTTGCCATATATGCTTACTTTCTTTATTCCTTGATGGCATTTTTAGAACTGAGGCTGGAGAAGTGCACCATTGCTCTAGTTCCATTACTCCATGATAGGAACATAAATTAAAAATGCAGATACCAAGATGACCAATTTCATACCTATATTAGGTTATAAATCAAAAGATCTTTCAACTGGGTTTCTTAAACACAATCATGATTTATTATCAAAACACACACGCAGAGATTCTTCAGGAAAAGAGGAAAAAGAAAACAGATTTCTCTGCAGAGACTGGGTTTTGAAACAAAAATAGCACTTTGGTCAGTGGGTTATTCTTCAAGGCAAAAGGATAAAGCTTATAATGTTCCAGAGTCTATTGCGCTAATGTTTTGCCACATGCAGTCAAGTCAATAATCACTCAAGGAGGTCCCCGAATTCTTACAGACATTGCTTGCTCAGGCAATAGAGGCTTGAGACGTTCTTTCAATTACTCTTTCAAAAGGCTGCACCCTGAACTGATATAGAGGGTTTACTTTTCAGAAACGTGAGAGGTCAGCTAAACAATTTGTTCATAAGAAGCTTTCTTTCAACCCAGCTTATTCTTAGTGGGCTTCCTCCTGAACTAGATAAAACAAAAACATTTTCGCACCAGTCACTATTGAAAAACAACCCCAGCCGGGTCTACAGCAAAGCAAACAGTTATCATCAGGCGTGTGATTTCTAGAAAACCTTGATAAAAAATATCCTCAATGTCCACTCCAAACTTTTCATTACCTCTTTTAAGAAACCATTCCTGGTATGTACACAAATTAGAAAAAAAAATGCATCTTTCCACAATTCTTCAAAACGTAAGTCCTCCAAACAATATTAACTATAAAGCATCTTCCTAAAAATAGGCACTGAAGTTTCAGGGAACATCAACATTTAGAAGTTTGATACCTTTTTAAAAAATATCCTACACTGTGCTTATTACAAAAGTTAAATTCCAGATGATCGATTAAGATATAGAGTGTGACGTGAAAAATCTACCTTGATGAGCACGATAGCTTTGGGAAGACCATTGTAATCGAATACCTCATTGAGTTAAAATGCACAAGAACATAACCCTGTGAGGAGTACAGAAGCACTTTCTAATTTTTAATAACTTAAAATGATTCAGCTCACTCAGCAAATAGCATGCAGATATCATTTCCACTGGATTATACAGTAGTCTTAAAATTATGGTCAAAGGTTATGTTCAGTTCAAGAAATGGAGGTGAATCTTTTCCTTTTGTTCACAGGTAACTTTGAAGACATTAACACATGCTATCAGAATTCCAAAATCTCACAACAGAAAGTGAATGATTCAGAAGCAGTGCTGAACAATTCAAATATGACAAGAGAAAAAGCAGCTGCCTTGTTAAACAAAAGAACGTTGATCAACAGCGATGAAATTCATGCATTAAACAACAAGACTAAACTACTGGATTTGATTGTCCTAAATAATAAGGTGAGTTCTACATCTGTAAAAAGCCATTTCCAGGAAAGATGCACTGGTCAATAATTTAAGGGTACAGAAGAGATTTATTAGAATGTTACCAGAGATGTAAAACTTTAGTTACGTGGTAAGACTGGAGAAGCTGGGGATATACTCCTTAGTGCAGAGATGCTCAGGAGAAGATTTTATAGAGGTGTTCAAAATCTTGAATAATAGAGTAAATATCAAATTTAATAGAAAATGTTATCATGTTGTGATCACTCTTCCACATAGAATCCTATACAATAAGATTAGCAATTGACCCTGCCTCATTAAACATAATAAATTGCAACTCGCCTGATCTTAATTGATTCCTTGACTCTTCCATTTATACATCACGGACTAAATTATACATGACCCGCAAGAAGAAGAAATTTATTTGTACAGATATTTTTATCTTGTTACATTCTTCTTCAAATTTTGAAATCTAAGATCAAAATTTGACATTATTTACTCTTCACTAGTGGCATTTGCTAATGGCAATGAAATAATGATGTAATTGCAATCAAGTATGTTCCACCTCTATCAAGTATACTAATGAGACATGGGACAGTATCTTCCTTTCCAAATCAGGAAGCACGAGTCTGTCATTTCCTGATGTTATGGTCTCAATTTCATTAAAGTAAAATTTGATCTTTCAGAATTAGAGGTAGATTAGAGGCACAGTCAAAGCCTCCCCATGAGAAGTCTGAGGTGGGAACAGTGGCAGCCAAATATCAAGGTTAGTAGGCTAGAAAACAAAATGCATTTCACTGAGACAGTTCTCTGTTCCCATACCCTTTCCAACCCTCCTCAAACCTCTGATGCCCAATCTGTGCAGCCTTCAATACCCTCTTATATAATTTATCCTTCTGCTATGTTCTTTCCATATGTTCCCTTATCTCCCTTTGCCCCACCATGCACTCGTGTTATAAACAGAACTAATGAAATATATTATAATACTTGGATTTTTTAAAAATGCTTTGGAAAGTAAGAAAAATGCTGTTTAAGCTCCTAACGAACAAAGTTGCCCCTCTTAGAAGCTTATAAAATTGTCAATCAAACACAATTATTAAACCTTCGTTTGAAAAACGAATGTCAAGTACTTAAAAAATAGCAGAAACCCTGCCTTTCCAGTGATAAACTGTGAATTTGATAATATAGCATCTCTGCTGAAATAACATAGAAATGTAATTCTTTTCAAAATTACACTATTTCCCAAATATGGGTAATTGTCAATGCACTAGTGTGTTATTTATCTTCTTGTATGTGACTCCTTTCCCAGGCACCAAAATATGTATACCAGACACAATAATCTTACTATTCTTGTTAGTTCTCTAACTCTAAATGTTCAGAGTGATCAAGCCTGCATTATTTCAAAATAATGTGTCAAATACATATTAAGGAAAGTAAAGAGTAAAGAATATTTTTAAACTGCACAAAAAAAGGTGTAGAAATTTTCTGTAGAATTGGAACGGATTGGCTTTGATAGTGTTGAAGACATTTTGAGATCCTACCTTATTGGACATAATCTATATGTTATTACACCCTCTCAGAAAATAACAACAATGACTATTTGTGACATTATGTTTCATGACAGCAACTTGGGCAGCACGGTGGCTCAGTGGTTAGCACTGCTGCCTCACAGCGCCAGGGACCCGGGTTTGATTCCACCCTCGGGTGACTGTCTGTGTGGAGTTTGCACGTTCTCCCTGTGTCTGCGTGGTTTCCTCTGGGTGCTCCGGTTTCCTCCCACAGTCCAAGATGTGCAGGTTAGGTGGATTGGCCATGCTAAATTGCCCGTAGTGTTCAGGGATGTGTAGATTAGGGGGATAGGTCTGGGTGGGATGCTCTGAGGGTCGGTGTGGACTTGTTGGGCTGAAGGGCCTGTTTTCACACTGTAGGGATTCTATGAACTTCATATTTATTTGCCACATGATACACCATGTTTTAAATTTTCTCTCCTTGATTTTGTAGATTTGTGGAGGGCAAAGGAATATATCCTGTGATGAAGATCGATGTGGTGGAGCTCTATGCCATGGCAGGCTTGAAAACCAAAGATGCAATGCCTCAGACTGTACTGGAGCTCTGTACGAGGCAAATTCTGCAAACACCCGAGCTAATGAAACAAGAGACCAGATGAAAGATCTCTTAGAAAAATTGCAGAATGCAATAAGCACGGTAAATGATTTAAATTTTCAGGTTTTTATAAAGAACTGCCTTCACATCCAAGGAGAGGTGATGGTGTAGTGATTATGTCACTGCATTAGTAATCCAGAACTGCTGGCTAAAATTCTGCAGCTATGAGTTCAAATCATGGTCAATGGTGAAAGTTAAATTCAGTATAAATCTGATCCAATTATCTTGCTAGTCTAATGCTAACCATGGAAAGCAATATTGACTGCTGTTCAAAACCCACCCGGTTCACTCATGTCCTTTAAGAAAGGAAATCTACCATCCTGATCTCAGTGTGACTCATAACCCATAGCAACACAGCTGATTCTTAAATGTCCTCTAGCAATAAATGCTGGTCAAGCCAGCAATGCCTACACGCCATGGATGAATTAAAAATAAATAGATTGTTTCTGTTTCTATGGGCATAAAGACTAAAAATGTTTGTACTCATCAATGAGCCTTCCGTTTTCTCTAGATTGACTCCCTCAGAAACATGACACAGGAAACTAAGGATAAGGCAAACAAATTATCCAATAAGGTAGCCAAGTCTAAAGATGAACTCGAAAAGGAAAAGCAAGAAACCAAAGCCATCATCAATAAAGTGAAAGAATTTCTCTCAGGTATTTAGTCCTTTTTCTTCCATTTTGCAGTCTTTGCCTTTTCTTGACAATAAGATTCTCATTCATTATCATGAGATGCAATACCGGTGTAACTATACCCCAGTAAATACTCAAGCGGTCAAAGGAGGGATATAAGACAAAATTACAGGAGGAAAGTTGACAAGGAGAACCAACAAGCTGAATTTGATGAGGTGAAAAGAATAATTGCAGAGATAATCAAATGTTATAAAGAAAAATTTAGTTCCTGCTGCAGCATTAAAAATGTCAAACTAAGGTAGGCAACTTTTCTGGAATAAGTAGATGATACACATCCTTGAGAAATTTTGGAATCAAATTTGCATTTGGCCGGGGAATGTTTGACTTGCTCTGCAGATTAAGTGGAGAAAGTAGGCTCTGTCATTCACCTGTGCAGAAAATCAAAAGGAAGGGGTTTATGGGCTAATTGGTACTTTATTCATCCATGTTTCATTGTATTCAAAGGAAGAGTGAACTATGTTAAACCATGTTCTTGAGGATACATTTCTTGAGCTTGCAAAATTGCTTTGCCGAATAATTGGCAAGTCTGCTCTGTCATAGTTGGTATTTCAGTCATTATATCACGGTATATCAGCCCAGTTTCATTCACTACAGAAAATAAAAGCTTGCGGTAATTACGCCAAAGTAGGCCATCTGTCAAAGTGGTCATTCACTACAAGCAGTGACAGTATAGACTAAGGCCATAGTTCTACTTCAAATTGCTTAAGAAATGTGTCCTCCATACATCTTTTGGAAAGCAACTTGTGTTTTTACACTTTATCTTCCTATTCAAGCTGACGGTGTTTCTCCCGAAGATCTTGAAAAAATTGCAAACCATGTTCTTTCCATCAAGTTACCCATCAGTCGGGAGGAACTAGTGAACAAAAGCAAACAAATTCAGGACATTCTTTCTGAAATTAAAGACCTCGATAAAGAAATGGAAAGATTGAACCAGTGGTCTAAAGAAGCAAAGACACTTTTGATACGTGCAATGAAAACAGAGTATGTAGAGATTTTTTTTTAACTAATTTGTCTGTTTTGTTGTTATTCTGTATTCTACCACTGACAGTTTATAGCCACTTCACTCCTTATTTAGAATATTCCTCTGTTCCAAACTGGATACACATTCCTATAGTTGTTGAAGCAGTGATATCCTCACCTTAACTACAGACAGAAAAATGGAAAGGAAAAGAGTTGTATGTTTCCTTTGTTATCCCACAGACAAACCATTCAGCTCATCGTCTGCTCCACCTTTCAGTGAGATCATGGCCGATCTGAACACTCTCAACCCCAGTTTCCTAACTTTTCCAAATAACTCCTCATTGCCTTATTTATTAAAATCTGTCTATCTCAGCCTTGAAAATACTTATTGACACTGCCTCAACAGCCCTCTGCACTAAAGAATTCTACGGATAAAATTCTTCACCAGTAAATTACAAAGCAAGAGAAATTACATAAGGGCCTGTCCAGGATTTGAACTCAGCACCTACATGTTAACCCACTACATACTCCAAAGCTAGAATCATACTCATAGACCAAAATGACAACTACTAAGTTTGTATGCAAAATTCTTTATGGATGTGGTGCATGGATAACAGAAAATATGACTTTTAAAAGGGCATTTTGTTGTCCTGTTACCTATTAAGATAGATGAGTCATTCATGGAAAATTGTGTTTGCAATATAGTCATTTTAACAGAAGCCATCTAAATATTTTATAGTGCAGAAATATTTATAGCTTGCTAACAGAATTAGGAGTGAAAACTGAAACCTGGGCCAAAATTATGAGGCATTTAACGACAGAGGGAGAAGCAGTTAGGGCAGATAGCTCTAAGGAATAGACTTTCATAGGATATAGGAGTAGAATTGGAGATGTATAGTCTAGAATTTATCCTGTAAGGCTACTTTCATGTGATTTCAAAGTCCCATCTGAGAAATTCCTAACCACAAGCCGAATACAGGGAAAGGACTCAGTCACACTATGTAAATTGAGCAAATTTGGTGAAAATTGAAATGATCAACACATGAATGGTGAACTGAGTTGTTACGTAGAAGCAGATATCTTTTGAAAAGAGATTTGAACTTCCACCTATTAGCTGAAAGAATAATGTCAAAATTTCAAGGTTTAAAATTTTTAGTGTAACAAATGACAAAAGAAATGCTATTGACTAAACATTATTTTCATGCCGTTAGCAACTTATACTTGAAACTACAGAAATAAACAGTTCCTTTTAACTTCTCATACTTCACACTCTACAGTTCCTATAGTAAATAATTCCTACTTATCCCCTACTTTCTATAGGCTGATTTCTTCTTCTGAGTTGGGCAACATGCAAACCTAGAACTGACTTTCACCACAAGAGTTATATTGTAGATTCCTTCTTCTAGCTCCAGGCTAAGGAACTGTTCCAGCTTCCATAAATCCTCATAAACTCATTCTTCAATGTGAGCACAGGCTCCTGTCCATGCTCTGAGTGGTGAACAATAGTCAGCTTTTTTTCTGCCTCAGATGTAGACCTGGCTGCTTTGAATTCCTGCCGTCTACTTCTCAGATGATTGCAAACCGCGCATGAAAAAACTCCTGTCTGTCTGTGGTAATCATGGATTTATAAGGAAAGCTGTAAGCTGCATTCAACAATGGCTTTCTCTTTCCTCTTTCCCATGGCAAAAGGAAACACAGTGGCTTTGTATTTAAGTAAGAATGCAAATTAGTTAGCGTTGCTCCCAACTCCCTTTCATCGTAGAAACAAATGTCAGAAATCACACGACACTAGGTTATAGTCCAACAGGTTTATTTGAAAAAACAAGCTTTCAATTTCTGATCTTGTCCACTCCAGTCCATCACCAGCACCTCCACATCATAGAAACAAACAGCTATATTGGAACAGAGAGAGTAAGAACTGCCGATGCTGGAGTCTGAGATAACAAGGTGTGGAGCTGGAGGAACACAGCAGGCCAGGCAGCATCAGAGGAGCAGGAAAGTTGACGTTTCGGGTCAGGACCCTCTTTCAGAAAATATTGTAGCACAATGGTTTACAACTCCACATCTTTAACACTTCTCTACAACTTTAGGAGACACACAATCCATTGTAGACTCAGAAACTGCTGTCATTGTCTCTAAGTATAAATACCTCGCACCTTCCTCTCAGTAAAACAATTGGATCCACCCTTTGGCCTCCAACCATCAAACCACTCAGGCTTACTGTCTGACTGACTGTAGGAAAGGTCACATGCCCCTCTCTTCAATCCTACATTTACAGTTCAACTCCAAAATATACTGATCCAATAAACAGATACAATCCAAAAATATAATAATCCTAAAAATCATCCCAAATATGACAGAGTACTAAAGGCACACAGCCCAATTAATGTGCTATCTATACAATCATCTCATAATGATTCAATTTAAAAAGTACATGTAACTGTCTTATCCTATTGTTCCCTGGGCTGTCACTAGCATGATTCCACCAGTAAACAAGATCCTGCACAACATGGTTTTAGCGCTAGCTATCAGACACGAATCTACTTGCATATTAAAGCTGTCATCATTCATCAACTTTCTGACATACATCAATATTGTGGTCAATTTGATATGTGAATCCTTAGGAAACTGACTCAAGAGATCCCAAGTCCAGAGGAACTGCAGGAGGATATGGACAAAATTGAAGAAGTGCAAAAAGAAGTCGCAGATGCAATAATGAGAATCCATGTTAACCTAAATAATTCCGGGACTGCAATTTCACAGGTGAGTAGGATGGATTTCAGTTCTGATTAAAGACTTAATAGGTAACAAAAGAACAGATTTTTAAAGAGATGCTTGACTTCTTTATTGTCATATATGTTCTTGGACTAGTATTCCAAAGGCACAGGCTAATGCACTAACACTAATACACAGGTTCATGGCAGATGACGGAATTTAAATTCAGTTAATAATTTCTGACCACAAAACCATTACCAATTGTTGTATAAAAGCCAATATGGTTCACTAAGCTCCTACAGGGAAAGAAATCTCTATCCCTACCTAGTCTATTCCGTATGAGATCCAGATCAACACCTTATTGTAGTTGACTCTCAACAATGCTCTGAAATGGTCTAGGAAGCCACTTAGTTCAAAGGCAAATAGGGGAGAGTAAAAAATGTTGAGCTTACCACTGACACTCATTCCAAAGACAAAAAAAAAATTAATGTCAGCTAGGCTTTAATGTGGCTTAGCATCTATGATTAATATTAAAGTTTTCAGCAATTTCCAATCAAAATTTGGTGTTTGCAGTATGATGAAAGATGGTAGCACATGCCTTTTGATTAAGATTCTGATTTTAAAAAACTGTGATCGTCTCAAAAGGATCATAAACTGAGTGTCAACAGAATCACTTTGATTAAACATTCTTTGTTTCTATTAAAATATAGGGCAGATTTTTTTTCCCCTGATGTAAGGATGACAATGGTGATGTGCCTTATTTTGCACTGCATGTCAGTGTGTTGGTTCTATCCTGCCTTCAAGCCAGCCTGGAGAAGCCAGGAACAGAACAGCTATCCCCCCACCAGCACCAATTATCAGAGGATGAATAGAAATTTCCAGTCAGCTTGCTGGCCCTCAGTAGCAGTGGGAGCATGAAAGCTGCCTGGAGGTAGCTTTTTGATAGCAGATCAGGGCACAGGAAAGTCAGCAGTCAGCACTTGAGGATGCCCTTGAGGACCTGATGCCTTCCTGGTTGTAAAGGTGATCTGGCAATTGCTTTTACTTCAATTCTGTTCAATTTGCTAAGAGGGTACATAAGGATGGAGGAGCTTTCTCATTATCCCCTACCTGTAAGAGCAGGCTTCTGGTGCATCTGTGTTTGACTTGATCTTTCAGCTTCGAGGAGCAGCCTGCAATGCGTATTTTGGAAGGGTGTGTGCCGCGGGGCTGCTAATTGGACAATTTAGGCAAAAATTATCATGGGGTGCCTACTCTTGACATATCACAGGGTCAAAATCCCCATTTAGCCCTGAGGTCAATTCCTGGTCCAAAACTCAAATTCCTGCCCATAGTGTCTTGTTCCCAATTTGGTTTCCCTTCTTGAAAGACTCGTTTTATATTAGCTATACACAACGTTGCCATAGCAACAAATTATTAGATTAATTTTCTATGATGGCAAATGACTGCTTGTTTAATAACTGTTGAGGAAAGGAAAATGGTTGTCAAGGGAGCAGTATGACCAGTATAGAAGTTTAACATTGTTCTGTAATTAGTAATTTTTCATAATGCCGAATGTATTGAGTAGATTAACTTTGAGGGATCATTGCTCAAGTCACTGAGTGCAATAATATTATAACACATCCTTTTTCAATGCATTTACAATGTGGTTACGTATTACATGCCTCTCAACAATTCAGATTTTGATTTTGACTTTGATTTTTGTTTTAAAACTATCATTGCATAGACCTTAGACTTTTTGAACATGGAGGTTATATTGATACTGTTCTGGACATTTGATATAGCTAAGGATGTTTTAAAAATCATGGCCAGAAAAAGAAGTAAGAAAGATTTGCAGTTATATAATGCCCTGCATGACCACCAGACATCCCAGTGCACCTTACAGCCAGTGAAACACTTGCAAATTGTAGTCACTGTTGTAATGTAGGAATTGTGGCAGCCAAATTACACACAAATGCCTACAAACAGCAAGGTGATCATGACCATTAACCTGTTTTTGTGATGTGAACTGGGGATAAAGATCAGTGTGTTAATTCCTGTAGAGACTTATGATTAAGAAAAGATAACATTTCCTAGTGAGCAAAACTAAGGAATCACACATCATTATCTCATATTTTAAAGATTTTTACATTAACAAAATAAAGTCAATATTGACAAAACATTATGTGTTAGTGACTGCAGAAAAGATATTCTCCAGTAACTTGTTAACAGAAACAAAAACCCTCATGCCACAGTTATGTACATTATAGACAGATATGTAGCCTTGAATATAAAGTTTGTTATGATCCCAGCTGATGCTATTACTGTACAAGTCCAAGCTCAGACTGAAATCTAGTTTGATACATCTTATTTTGTTTTTCTTTTCAAATTTATCAAAGTAGTCTCTTGTTGAATTATAATCATACAATGCTGCGTTGGTTTTAACAATAAAACAGAAGTCTATTACGTGGAAAAGAACATAAAATAAAATAGGATAAACCAAGCTACTTACATATAACACAGTTTAAAAGATTTCAAAACACAAAATAAAATACAATATTCCATCTGTCCCAACAACATCCCTTTACAGTATTCAAACACCAGTGAGAGAATTCTCTTCTCCATGAGATCTATTCATTTGACTTAACTGTTGCTTTGAATCCTTAGTCTTGAGAATTTGATAAACTTTCCCTTTAGTATTCACGTAACTGAACTTAATATTCAAATAACCCCTTTAGAATTCAAAACATACACTTAATTTAAAAACATTTTAGTGAGGAACCCATTTCTAACTCATCTGAACTAATTCCTTACTCCAGGAGAACTGTTTCTTACATCCAACTACAACCAGGATGTGTACAATTGAAGCCAATATGTTTCCATGCTATGGGTATTTCCCCAAGCAAAAAAAAATCCCTGCTTCTTTTACCTGAAAGCAGCCTAATGTTCTTCAATGTTTACTCTGTTCATTCATAAAATTTCCCCAATGCAAAACAATTCTCATTAACACTCCAGGTACCTCCACTAGCATACGAGTTTTTTTTAATGGCTCCAGAAATATTGACACGTTCACTATTAAACACTTTCACACTCACAGAGCAAAACCCACATGTTACTCATTCAAAACCCAAACTCTTAAAAATAGATTATACTAAATATATGTAAATCATACATCCTACATCACAAGTCTCAAATGTCTACAAGAAATTTAGCAATGGGTCAGTGTGGACTAGATGAACCAAATGGCCTGCTTCGACAGTGTAGGGATTCTATAACTCTAACTTCTGTTCTCTGTACCATGCCAGTGTGAATCTTTCTGTGTCCTCCTAAGTGAAGTCATCTTCATTCAATCTTCTGAGCATGTCTGAATGAGTTTTCAGCAACATGGCACTTACTGGTGACTTGTTCATCTTGAACTCACTACAAAAAACTTTATTCCTGTGAGCCAACTTCTGTCCTCACCAGCACTCACTTGATGATTTGGAAGCAATCATTCCTTCTGTCTGGGATAATAGCACCTACTTTCAGACTTACCGCCTTGGAAAATCTATGACTCTGCATATAGCAAGAACGGCTGCCCTCACCTTTCTGTTCTGATGTTAAAACTCACAACTGACTTTCATTTGGACTTGACATAGATCCCCAGTCACATGGCTTTGTCACTTAGCAGAGTTTGGTAATAACTTCATGTTAAATGGATCAAAGCTAGGTGGCGAAGTTTGGAATAAGTCCCTTTTTCTTGGTAGGTTTATACAGAGGAGGGAACTTACAGACCTCTGCCTCCTAACTAAATATCTCAATGCTCCATCTGAGTCTGTTTACACTCTTTTTGAGACCAACTGAAATAAATTAGTACAAACTAAATCTCACGAAGTGAGTTAAAGAATTGCAGCCCTTAAAAGGGGCATAATAACAAAAATCAAATGGTTTAAAGGAACTTAACAAATTTAGATTAAAACTTGGATTCAGGCAACATGATGCACTCCAGTGCCCACTGGTCCCTACTGTGTATATGCGTGATACTAGCCCTTAATCAAATACTACCCATCAGTTATACATCTTCACCATTATAATCAACAAACCTCAAAAAATTCACACCATACCTCATCTAACGGCATTCTGTTTCTGTTTCAATTTAAATTGAAACAATGGTCAATTTAAAACAAATCCATTCTGTAAAGTCTAGAGATCATAACGTTAGACAAGACACCAAACTAGTCTGTCAATTTTTTCATAAGATCGTTTACATTCACCTGCAAGGACAGACGGGTCTCAGTTTCACATCTCTTCCAAAATACAGCTCATCTTATAGTGCAACACTCTGTCGGTGCTGGATTGGATTGTTATTCATGTTTTTTGCAATCAACCCACAGAATGAAACCTGACTCTATGATCTACTGGCTCAGATGCAAGAGAGCTATCAACTGATCAACTACTGCTTCTCTCTGTTCCCTCTTTAATTTCTCCCAGAACTCTACAATATATGCTAGCCAGACCAACATGCTTTCCAACGTGAATCCCACCTTTTTTATAATATTCCCTACCTGTTGTTATCTTACACAAAAGTGCAACTTCTTCTCTTACACACGTATTTCCACTTCAATACGCTTCTTTGAAAATCGAAGCAAAATGCTCATTTAGTATGTCATTGCTTCATTCTGCAAGAAATTTAATTTTCCATTTATACTCAGTTGCACCCTATTTTAAAGTATTCTATTACTTTTTGTTTGTAGAGATCATTCTCATTTAACTCTTATCCAGCATTTTGTTATACCCCTTCTTAGCTTTTCAAATCATTTTGTTTCTCTTCTCAATTCTTCATATATTACATTTACTTTCCTTGTGTTACCAGGCTAGTGTTGTTATACATCTCTTAAAATGGAGTTTTAATTTGAAGTTCTTGCAAGATTTAAACTTAGATCAATGAAAGATCACTGATTTGCAATTTTTCTCAACTGTTAATGTTTATACTTTCATATATTAACTGCCTCTTGACAGATTAATAAGAAAATTGAGTCAATTTCTGAGAGCCTCATGCAATTAATGAACAATCTAAAAAAGCTACAAAATGAAATTGAAGAAGTGAGAAACAAGATCGATAACAACAAGAAAATGGTTCAAAAGGCTAAGGAGAAAGCGTCCAAAGCAAAAGCTCATGCAGAGGAAGCTGAACAAGTAATTATTTTAATCTTATCTCTGGAAAATTATAAGGCAATGATATTACTAAATCCTAATGATTCTTAAAGGGAGTGGGTGAAGCACCTAGCATTGACACATTTAGGAATAAGCTAGGAAGACACATAAGAGAAAAATGAATAGTTAGATGCATTGATGAGATTGGGTGAAATGGAACAAGATTTGTGTGGAGCATAAAAAATGACTTGAACCAATGGCCTGCTTTCCGCTTAAAACACAGATTGTACCTCCCATATCTAGCAATCTCTAGTGCAACAACCTCTGTACTCTGTCACCTACTCTGGTCCAGCACCCACAGTACATCCCGTTTAAGATAGCCCCCTGTCTCATTCTTAGCAGTAAAATTTTGAAATTCTTGTCATAAGTTCAGCACCTCGTTACCAGTAGGGTTTATTGCTGGAGATAAATCAGTTTTATGAGTTGGTATCCTGGTTAGATCCCCTCCTTCTTGTAACTCACAGAACTCCACCAGGAGGTGCTGGTATTCCAAAGTGCTTCATCGAAGGCCAGGCAGCATCAGAGGGGTAGGAAAGTTGACATTTCAGGTCGGGACCCTTCTTCTGAAGGGTTCCGACCCGAAACGCCAACTTTCCTACCCCTCTGATGCTGCCTGGTCTGCTGTGTTTCTCCAGCTCCACACTGTGTTATCTGTGACTCCAGCATTGACAGTTCTTACTATCTCTACTTCATTGAAGTTGTCTTCCTTCAGCACTGACACATCATCCTACTTGAGACTATCAGCAGCAAAGGCCAAGTTAGCCAGAGAGAGTAGTTGGTCAGGCTGCATGCTTGGTTTCAGTCTCACTGTGAGGGGATGTCAAAACCAGGGGAACACGGTACTGTGTTGGACTTGTGATTTCCTCACATCTGTCAAATTCACTGCTCCATCAAAGGCCTGAGGCCTCTGAACAATGGAGCTATAACCTGCAAAGATGTGATACTAAGTCATGTTATGTGTAAAAAGTTCTTTTTGTATAATTATGTTTATTATCTTGTGTGTCAGCAATGTGCCCAACAATTAACAAATCATAGTGCAAAAAAACCCAATAGTACAGCATGCTAGCATGGCAGGTGGTTTGGCTGAATGGTCAAAGGCACTGGATTTAAGTTTGTTTGGAGGTGTGGATTTGAATCCCACCAATGCTACATTATTTCAGAGACTCCTTTAGATGAACAAGTAGCAGCTTTGATTTAACATTGTGTTTCTATAACCTGTAGCTATCTAGTTCATTTGACACACACAAGGTCTTCTGTTCAAACCTGGGCAAAACAAGCTTTGGGACTCCCTTGCCACAGGATCTGGATTCAGTCCTACTGCGGCAGAGCTGTGTAATAACATGTCTGAACACGTTGATTCAAAATACATACAGCGAGTGAGCACATTATCTTTTCACAACTGGGTGGTGCATTTAGCTAATGCCAGCAATGAGGAGTGATGATAATTATTAGAAAAGAAGCCAAAGTTGAACTCATATAGAGGAAAAAGCAATGATGATAAATTTGTACAAGGCAATAGTTAGAACAAAGTCAGATAGGCCACTTCTAGGGAAAAAGGAGCAAACATTTGAAACAAAAATAATTATAAGAATATATATAAAGAATGGAACAATGAAATGAGTTTTGAATTGCTCTCGCAATGAGATCACACAGAGTTTTTAACTATTATAACATTATTCTCACTTAACAGCCTTTTAGTTTTATCTGTTACTTGTAACTTACCTGATTTGTTTGAAGGTTTGTTTATGTTTTGATTACTGAAGGAATTTCAAAAAATGAACGAGACTTACATAAAATTAAGCAAAATCAATGTCCAAGACATTCCACCTGATGGAAAACAAAAAGCAGAACAATTACAACAAGACGCTGCTGATCTAGCAAAAGACCTGGAAGAAAAACTACAAAGAATTACAGGTATACAACACAATACAGCACAGGAACAAGCCCTTTAGCCCACCAAGCCTGAACTGATTCCTACTCCTTATTTAGACACACTACTTATTGCCCATGCATGATTTCTATCCCTCTGTTCGCCTCTTGTTCATGTTTCTATCAAGATACGTCTTAAAAATTGCTAACGTGCCTACTTTCATCACTTCCTCTGTCAGTGAGTTCCAGGTACCCACCACCCTCTGTGTGTAAAATTTTCCCCGCGCATCTCTTCTAAACTTTCCTCCTCTCACCTTGAACCTGTGCCCTCATGTAGTTTACCTTTCTTTTCCACCCTGGAAAAAAGCCTCTGCCTATCCACGCTATCTATGCACCTCATAATTTTGTAGACTTCTATCAGGTCGCCCCTCAGCCTCTGTCTTTTCAGTGAAAACAATCCAAGTTTGTGCAACATCTCCTCATAACTAAAACCCTCCAGACCAGGCAACATCCTGGTAAACATTCTCTACATCCTCTCCAAAGCATTCACGTCCTTCTAGTAATGTGGCGACCTGAACTACATGCAATATTCCAAATGTGGCCTAACAAAAGTTTTGTACAGCTGTAGCATAACATGCCAACTTTTATATTTGATGCCCCAGCCAGTGAAGGCAAGCATGCTGTATGCCTTCTTGACCACCTTATCAACCTGTGTTGCCACTTACAGGGATCTGTGGATGTGTGCGTCCAGATCCCTTTATATGTCAATGCCCCTAAGGGTTCTTCCATTTATTGTATAATTTGTACCTGAATTTGATCTTCCAAAATGCATCACCTAACATTTGTCTGGATTAAATTCCATCTGTCATTTCTCTGCCTAAATCCACAGTCAATCTATATCCCACTGTATCTTTTGGCAATCCTCCTTACTATCTGCAACTCTGCCAATTTTGGTATCATCTGCAAACTTACTAATCAGACCACCTATATTTTCCTCCAGATCAGTTTTATATATATTACAAACAACATCCCTGCAGAACACCACTAGTTACTGATCTCCATTCTGATAAGCACCCTTCCATTACTATTCTCTGTCTTCTACGATCAAGCCAGTTTTGTATCCATCTAGCCAGTCCACCCCAGATCCCATGAGACTCTACCTTCCATACCAGCCTGCCATGCGGTACCTGATCAAATGCTTTACTAAAGTCCATGTGGAAAACATCCACTGCCCTTCTCTCATCAATCATTCTTGTCACTGCCTCAAAAAACTCAATCAAGTTGGTGAGACATGACTTTCCCCACACAAACATAAACTGCCTATCACCAACAAGTTCATTCACTTCCAAATGTGAATAAATCTTGTCTCTCAGTATCTTCTCCAACAGCTTCCCCACCGCTGACACCGGCCTGTAGTTACCTGGATTATCTCTGTTGCTCTTCCTAAACAAAGAAACAACATTGTTGTGCCCAATGTTCCTCCAAGACATGGGGATATAAGTTTGATAATTTGTGTGTAGCCAGCCTCTTATCACAGTACTAGCGTATATTTAATTAACAGAGCTGCCCTTCCATTGTTTCCCAGCCTCTTTTCATACACTCATAGAATTTTACAGTACATAAGGAGTCCATTCAGTCTATCGTGTCTGTACCGGCTCCAGAAAGAGCTGCCAGCTAGTCCTATTCTCCAGATCTATCTCCATAGCCCTCTAAATTTATCATTTTCAAATATACATCCAGACCTATTTTGAAATTTCTTATGGAATTGACTTCCACCACTCTCCCAGGCAGCGCATTCTAAATAAAAAAATGAAAGAACTGCGGATGTTGTAAATCAGGAACAAAAACAGAAGTTGCTGGAAAAGCTCAGCAGGTCTGGCAGCATCTGTGAAGAAAAATTCAGAGTTAATGTTTCGGGTCTGGTGTATCAGGTCATATATATGAGTTTTATATATATGAAGTTTTATTGTGAATGCTGCTGGCATTCAGGTCCAGTGACTTTATTTCAGTCTTTATTTACTGTTGTGCACTCTGGTCCCATCTGCTGGCCCACTCTTAGGTTTGCAATCAGTCTCGTTTCCTTCCATATTTTAATTATCATCAATTGTTATCTTTATCTATCATTCATCCATAAAAGTCAAAGGGGCGCAGTTCTTAGAGAGGGGTAAATAGAGACAGTGTACAGTCAGCAATTACCGCCACAATCGTCAAGGAGCTTGTTGAATTCCAGTCCATGGGCTTGGCCATGGTCAATCAGATGCTTAGTCCTACTAGAGTGCAGGGCTCTGTGTCCTTGTCAGTCCTGCAAGTCAGGTACACTCAGAATTACAGGCAGATGTGCATATCAGACCAGGAGGTGAGCCAATTATCCCTTCAATGAGTCAAAGAGATGGATTGATTATGATGGAGATGGATGGAAGAGCAGTTAATAGTGAAGCAGGACAGGTCATGAGGTGTCTTCAGTGAGTGAGTAGGATTGCCTGGGAGAGTGGTGGAGGTCAATTCCGTAAGAAGTTTCAAAATAGGTCTGGACATATATTTGAAAATGATAAATTTAAAGGGCTATGGAAATAGATCTGGAGAATAGGACTAGCTGACAGCTCTTTCTGGAGCTGGTACAGACACGATAGGCTGAATGGACTCCTTATATACTGTAAAATTCTATGAGTGTATGAAAGGAGGCTGGGAAACAGTGGAAGGGCAGCTCTGTTAATTAAATATACGCTAGTAGTAACATGGACTGAAGTGGATGAGAGGTGTTGAATGGACATGATGTATGTAATAGTGAGAGCTGTGGTCCATGAGTCTTTGTAAGAGGCCGGTGCAGTGACACAGTTAAGTGACTGGTGATCCTGTGAGTGCATGGTAACAATGAAAAGATGATGTCTCTAACCATTATGGAGCATACAAGATCACTGAGTTTCTTCCTGGACTGCTGTGCATCCCACTTCACCTGAGACACAGCCCTGAGCTGCATAGAATTTGGGTCCAGGCCAGCATGTTCCGGTAGTGTGTCATTCTGTGGCTGTCCACAGAAGAAAGGACTGCCCTCCTCTCCATCCATACCATTCACCAAGATCTCCAACGCTCTTGTCTTGAAGCGGTCATGTCCTCCATAATGGCTGAGTATGCAAGTCACTCTTGGTTCTGAAGTAATGTGCAGCTAGGTTTTAAAAATGACACCAGCAGTGTAAACACTTGGAATTGCTTTCTCTGCTTTCTCTCCACAGATGCTGCCAGACCTGCTGTGTTTTACCAGCAATAACTGTTCTTGTTTCTGATTTCCAGCATCTGTAGTACTTTGTGTTTTTTTTTGGGAACTTTTCCTTTCTGGCTATGTGATTCTCTGAGAAAGGTGACCAAGGGTCCGGTTGCATCATTAATAAGGTGAAGAGTGGGAGATTGAGTGCAAAACATTACTTCAAGCCTTGAGGGACTGGGCACCATGAAATCCACTCAACAAAACACTAACTGAAAATGGGAACATTAAGCCCAAAGAAAAACTGAAAGAACTGCGGATGCCCAAAGAGTTGTCCCTGCTAAAAAAAAGTGAAACCAGTTTAATCTAGATATTCTAATTAACTAGTTACAGCTGCAGTCAGGGAGATTTTTTTTTCACTCATGGGACATGAATGTCGCTGGCTGGCCAGCATTTATTGCCTATCCCTATTTGCCCTTGAGAAGGTGGTGGTGAGCTACCTTCTTAAACCACTACAGTTCATGAAACTGTGGGTTGACCCACAATGCCATTAAGGAGAGAATTCTGGGTTTTGATCCAATGACAGTGAAGGAACAGCGATACATTTCCAAGTCAGGATGGTGATTGTCTTGGAGGGGAACTTGCAAGTGGTGATGTTCCCATGTATCTGCTGCCCTTGTCCTTCTAGATGGAAGTTGAGGTGGGTTTGGAAAGTGCAGTCTAAGTGTTTTGGGTGAATAGTGGAAAAAGACATAATTTACATGTTTTAAACAGGAAGACAATAAGATGCAGGAGCAGAAGTAGGCCATTCAGCCTACTCCACAATTCAATGAGATCATCTGATAGTCCTAAATGCCATTTTCCTGCCTTTTCCTCATTATCCTCAATTCCCTTATTAAAAATTTGTCTATCTCAGCCTTGAGTATTCTAATGATCCAGTCTCTACAGCTCTCTGCAGTAAGGAAATCGAGATTCACTACCCTCTGTGAGAAGAAATTCCTCATCATTTTTGTCTTAAATGAGTAACCCCTTACTCTGTGGTTATGACATCTAGTCCCAGATTTTCCCTCAAGTGGAAACAAACTCTCCACATCTTCCCTGCCAAGCCCCTTAAAAATCATGAGATAACAAGGTGTAGAGCTGGATGAACACAGCAGGCCAAGCAGCATTTTTTTTCTGAAGAAGGGTCCAGACCCGAAACGTCAGCTTTCCTGCTCCTCTGATGCTGCTTGGCCTG